GGTGGTGGTAATGATAATGGTACTGGTGGTGTGATGGTGGTGGTGGTGGTGGTAATGATAATGGTACTGGTGGTGTGATGGTGGTGGTGGTGGTGGTAAAATAATGGTACTGGTGGTGTGATGGTGGTGATGATGATAATGGTACCGGTGTTGGTGATGCTGATGGTGGTGGTGGTGATGGCAGCAGTGGTGTGATGGTGATGGTGGTGGTGGTGATGATATTGGTACTGGTGGTGTGATGGTAGTGGTGGGGATGATGATGGTGGCTATAATGGTGGTGATGGTGATGTTGGTGGTGGTGGTGGTGATGGTGATAATGGTACTTGTGGTGTGATGGTGATGGTTGAAGAGATGGTGGTGCTGACCTGAAGAAATCCTCAGAAGTTTTAAAAAGGCAGTGGAAGTTTTCTTCAAATGAACTCTTAAGGGGAAAACCACTTCAAATGAACTCTTAAGGGAAAAACAGATAAACAAGAGTTGCTCAAGGTTCTAGGGATCCGAGGGCCTGCTCAGCCATCCCTTCTTCCTGCCAGCTGCCCACCCCATGGCCCCAACAGTTTATCATGCATTCAGCCAAGCACAGTCTGAAAACCTATAGCAAGAGATTGACAAAGAAATGGCAAGATAAATTTTGCTTACTTTAGATCTAAGGGAGGCTTAATGTTTCTGGGAGGTAGACATGGGACTGGTGGTTGCGCTGGGTGAGAGGCTGGCAGTGGTGGCTGGCTGGCTGGATGGGATGGTGGAGGCGGTGGTAGGGAGGTTGTTGAGTAAGATGTTTGGCCTTTGCTGGGACCTGAGAAGCAAAGCAAAAAATACCATGAATTGGGACAAATCTTCAAAATGTAAGAACTGGCTATATATATATATATAAAGAAATATAAAGAAATGAGGATCTCAATTATAAAAATGTAAGAAATGCATCCTGAGTTGCATTAAAGCTTTAAAGAGTCTAATATTCTAAGTATCACGGGACATGGCATTTTAAATATTCCATTTCTTTTTCCCCACCTAGATTTACTGAGGTATAATTGACAAATAAAATTATAAGATATTTAAGGTATATAGCATGCTGATCTGATAAATATATTATTGTGAAAGTTTTCCCCCATTAATTAACACATTCATCATCTCACATGTTTACCTTCTTTGGTGAGGAAGTGAGAATATTTAAGTTCCACTCTCTTGGCAAATTTCAATATACAATACAGTGTTATCTACTCTAGTCACAGTGTTTTACTTCATATCCTCAGAACTTACGTTATCTTATAATTGAAAGTTTGTACTCTTTGACCAACCTCTCCTTGTTTTCTCCACTCCAGCCTCTGCAGCAACCACTTCTATGAATTTGGCTTTCTTTTTCTTTAATTACACATATAAGTGATACCATGCAGTATTTGTCTTTTTCCGTCTAGCTTTGCTTAGCATAATGCACTCCAGATTCATCCAGGTTGTCATAAATGACCAAATTTTTTTCTTTTTAAAAAGCTGAATAATATTCCCTTGTATATATCTACCACATTTTCTTTACCTATTTGATGACTGACACTTAGGTTGCTTTTATACCTTGACTATTATGAAAAATGCTTACTATGAACATGGAAGTACAGATATCTCTTTGAGATAGTGATTTTGTTCCATTTTGATATTTATCCAGAAGCAGGATTGCTGGAGTATATGGTAGTTCTATTTTTAATTTCATGAGGAACCCCATATTGTCTTCCATAGAGGCTTTACCAGTTTACATTTCCACCAACAGTGCACAAGGGTTCCATTTTCTCCACTAGCTGGTAATTGCTACCTCTTGCCTTCTTGATAATAGCTTTCCTAACAGGTGTGCTTTTGATTTGCATTTCCCTGATGATGAGTGATGTTGATAAATGTTTCTTTTCTTGAGGTAGATAAATTCTTTCAGTTTAATGGCCACTATTACAAATAATTTCTGACCTTGTTAAGGAAAACCTTAACAATTTTCAAATCTACATGTAGAGTATATGAAAAGTTTCATAATAAAAAGGAAACGACAGTAACACAAAATTTCTTTTACTTTTTCTAAGCTTTTGTAAACCTTAGTTTTAATATTCTGGATTTGGTGAATAATACCACATTCTTTATGATCTTACAAATATAGATCATTTTTCATCTGACCTATTATTTTAGACCAAAAAGGTTTAATTTTTGTGTCTGATCTCATAAGTAACATATTCTTACTTGTTCTTGATGATCTCTTTGAGTCTTTAATGAAAAGACATATTGTGTTTCAGGTATGATTTCCAAACATTGAAACCTGTTAAGCAATCTTATAAGTAAATCATATGTATTGTAGAAATTATAATATGGACAAACAAAACTAAATAAATATGAATCACCCATAATCCAATAACCAGCAATAACTACTGAGTTACACATAGTTTAAAACATTTTAGTGAAAATATATACTTTAGTGGGAGGAAACAAAATGAGACCATTTTGCTATTTTGCTAAGATTTTTAAAATTTTTCTCAATATTTATAAATATTTTTCGAGGTTAATATAATTACAATATAATTTTTAGTCATTGCACATTTTTTTCTTTATGTAGCCCTACCATGATTAAAAAATTAGAGTAGGGCTCTAATACTGGATAATTGTATTAATTATTTTCTTTTGTGCTATAATAAAAAAATGGCCTAGTCTTTGCACATATCTTTAACATTTTTCTTAAGATAAATTCCATTAAGTAGAAATCCTGGGTCAAGCAGCATTTTTTAAGGGTTTTGATACAAAATATCAAATTATCTTCCAGAGAGTTACCAACTGACAGCTTCATCACTTAGTTTATGAGAGTGCCCATTTTCATATGCTTTTTGTAAATATTGGCATTATTGTTTTTGAATCTTAGACAATACAATGGAAAACTACCTTCTTATTTTGAGTTTGTTGTAATCAGAATAATATATGCTCAGAGATTAGAAAGTCAGTGACAACATGCAGCCACCACCACCAGAAAACGATTCTCTCCTCACTGGAGGCCATCACTTCCAACGTTTTAGATATTTCTTTTACATTTACCTACATAGTCCTACTACAACACACACACACACACACACACACACACACACACACACACACACACACACACACACACACACACACACACAAGTATATATACTGCTTGATTCATGATTTTTACAAAGATTATTGACTTTCTCTTTGTTAGATATGGATTTTTGCTCTCTTCCCCTCCCCTTTCCAATACAGCAAAAGCATGACTTAAATGAAAATTAAATCCATACTCACTGTTTTCATTATCATGACTTGGTAAATATGTTCTTTGTTGAGTCAACTACTGAACTATGATTACATTTCTTTTCTCATTCAACTTACTATTTTCCTAGAGTTAATCGCCTCATTTTGTCACTTGCAAAGGATTTTGCTTGGAACTTTTTCTTCCCACAATTTCCAATAGTGCTGTAAAATGTCTTTAAACATTTTCTACATAATTAAACCTGTCAGTTAATGCATCAGTATATTGTCTCTTGTCCACTTGCTCTAATCTGATGTGGTTGCTTTTTAAAGTCTACACATAGCTGACACTCTGGGATTTCTCTGCCAGTAACATGAATCTGAAATATTGAGAGAAAACATTATGGTCAAGAGGGCAAGATCTAGAGCCAGAAGGCCTGGTGTAAATCCTGTTTCCACCACTTATTTGCTGAGTAACTTCTAATTTCATCCGTAGAAAGGAGATCATAATAGTGCCACCTTGTAGGGTTGTGGTGAGGACCTTAGACTTAACATATGTAAAGCTCTTAAGATAGTGCCCAGCATATAGTAAGTTTAACATTTTATTTTTCATTCAACAACTATTTTTTGAATGCCTACTATGTGTCAAATTCTGTTCTAGGTGCTAGAACACAGGGGAAAAAAACAGACAAAAATTTCTGCTCCTATGGGTCTGGGAAGACAGATAAGAACTAAAAAAAATAAAAGTAAAAAAAATATAAAATTGTGGTGAGGAGTGCTCTAAAGTGGTGGAAAGGCTATAATGGTGACTACTGGCTACTCTTCCCTACTCTGCATTTGCTGACCTCATTATGGTAGATAGGTTTGGTAGAAAAAATGCTTGTGCTGGAGTCATTCAGACTTGGGTTTGACTATTAATCCCAGCAAAGACTAGCTATAGGACACTTGTTAATTTATTTCGTTCCTCTGGGTTTTCTATTTCCTGACTGTTATAATGGGACTACTGATTCCTAACCTGCAGGATGGCTATGAGAATTAGAAGTAATATGCACACCTGTTCAGCACACATAGGTATTCTACTTACGAATTATCTTAGAACCTAGAACTGTTGTGTTCTGGATGGGACAAGCTCTTATTACACCTCTCAGGACATATTTATTTCCATCCATGTAGAGAGAATGGATAATTATACTCCAGTTAACATTTTTAAAAAGTTTTCTAAACTGTCACTTATGCCTGAAACAACATATAAATTGCTGTGCATCTGACCATTCTGAAGAAAGCAAGCTTCCAAAAAGCCACTTATCCTTTTAAGTGTAGTGAGGCTGTACTACTCTTCCTCCATGTTAACACCATGCAGCTTAATGCTGCTCAGGGAGCTCTCCTTCATTTGTACACAGAGTACTCATATGTGCTTTCTCATACTAATTTTATTTTTTTAAAGTTCCTGTAAATTATTTTTCCATTTATTTACATTTTCTTCCTAGATGAACAGAGAACTTCTGAGGGCAGACAGGTCTATGCTGTCAACATCTGGGTGTGTCCTACAGTTTCTTGATTTAGACTTTGTTTCTCCTTTACTCTTTTCCTTTTAGAATAAAACGTAATTTAAAACAGTTTATTGCAAAATAAATATATACACAGCAAAACATTTAAGAAAAAAGAAGAGAGAATACTTAAAACAAAATCTCATATTCTAGTTTCTGTGTGGTCAGTACTCACTCCCAAAGACAACTGTTATCAGTCTTCTATGCGTCATTCAAAAAATATTCTATGTATTTTTTTTACACAAATGTGATCGGGTACACATATTATTTTTTCTTAATTTTTACTCAATGAAAAATCAGCAAAATCTTTTATAAACACTACATAAAAGAGACTATCCAAACAGATAATGGTTAAAAAGAAAGAAAAAAAGATGTCTAAAGTGAAAAAGATAGATCATACAAAGTGGCTTTTAGTATAAAAAGCAACCAATGGTGACTCTATAGCATCTTACTATGCTGATGGACAGTGACTGCAATGGGGTGTGTGTGGGGGACTTGATAATATGGATGAATGTACTAACCACAATGTCGCTCATGTGAAACCTTCATAAAATTGCATATCAATGATGTCTTGATAAAAAATAAAGCAACCAAGAATTAATACTGTCAAAATGGCCATCCTGTCAAGCAATTTACAGATTCAGTGCAATCCCTATCAAAATACCAATGGCATTTTTCAATTAACTAGAGCAAATAACCCCAAAATTCATTTGGAACTACAAAAGACCCTGAATAGCCAAAGTAATCCTAAGAAAGAAGAACAAAGCTGGGGGTATTACCCTCTATGAGTTCAGAGACTATATTATAAAGTTACAGCAATCAAAACAGTATGGTACTGGCTCAAGAACAGATCCATAGATAAGTGGAACAAAATAGGAAGCCAAGCTATAAATCCATGCAAATATGGTCAATTAATATATGATAAAGAAGCCATGAATATACACTGGAGAAAAGACTCTTTAAAACTGATGTTGGGAAAACTGGACAGCTACATGCAAGAGAATGAAACTGGATTACTGTTTAA